TAGGCATTTCCAGGGTGGTGGTTGTAGTTTTTAGTATGATTACTCCCTGTTTTTTAGTAAGAGTCATCTAGTAATTAAATATTTGGAGGAAGTAGGGTTGTCTGCAACACCTAGTATAAGGTTTTAGAGTTTATTTAACCTTTCATAAGTTAGACTTCCTTTATTGTTTTAAAAAAATATATTTTATTGATTTTTTACAGAGGGGAAGGGAGAGGGATAGAGAGTTGGAAACATCCACGAGAGAGAAACATCCATCAGCTGCCTCCTGCACACCCCCTATTGGGGATGTGCCCTTAAACAAGATACATGCCTTTGACCGGAATGGAACCTGGGACCCTTCAGTCCGCAGGCCGACACTCTAGCCACTGAGCCAAACTGGTCAGGGCAAGTTAGACTTCCTTTAATTAACCTGGCCCAATCAAGTGGGGGTTTTTTGTACTTCATTAGGGTTATATTAACTCCACGCTCATTTATCATTTATCGGAGCCACTATAACTTCTGTATATTTTCCCCCACAGAGTTCGTAAACTTCTAGTGGATGCAATTCATAATCAGTTAACTGATATGGAAAAGTGCATTTTGAAATATATGAAAGGAACATCCATTGTGGTCCCTGAACCACTGCACTTTTTATTGCCGGGGAGAAAAAATCTTGTAACGATTTCATATCCATCGGGAATTCCAGATGGGCAGCTGCAGGCCTACAGAGAGGTGAGACCAAACCATGTACTCTTAGAAAAAATAAGGCTGTCATCCATTTCATAGTTAATTACATATTTCTAATAAACGGAAATTATTTTACGATTTAATTTTAAAGTGTGGAGCCCGACTATTAGTTTTACGTATTATTTCATTTCTATTCTCATGGAACTTGTTTTTTAAGTATTTTGAGTGAAAAAATACTTAAAACCCATATGTACTGGAAACCCATATGTAACATTTGAATTTTATATGCTCAGTGTGGTTCATATGTTCTATGAAATTATTAGTTTTCCATAATGAAATGAAGAATTGAAATTTGCTTCCACCCCTGGAGAAGCTGACGAGTATTAATAAATTCCTTTCCCTTTCATTCCTTTCAGGTTTGTGAGCGAGAGATGACAGTCAGGGACGGGCAGTTAGGATTCATGCCAAGCCTAGTTAGGAGTTACAGTAATACTCCACCCCTCCCCCACGCCCCAGGCTGCTTTGGGTTTTAGTAGAGGCCTTTGAAGAAAACATGATCAGCGCTCAAAGCAATGAGGTTACTGACAAAATGACTGGTTTTAGGGTACGTATTTTTTATGTGTGGCCTTGTCCGGCCGCATCAGAGTCTCTTCCTGAGATGCCCTCTCATGCCCCTGAGAAGGTATGATATTGGAACCCTCTGTACACCTCTGGCCTAGATGAAGTGCTATGTAGAGGCAATAGCCCCATGAGCTAACGATCCCCTTCAAACTGCTAGAGTACACAGAAGACATGAAAAAGAAAATGTCCAGCTTTTCAAAGTAACTATTACATATTGTTATACTATTGGGAATATTTTTGCATTTTGAACATGTGTATTTTTATTTCAGTGCCATATTGGTTGGTTTCATACCACCAATTTCTACTCTGAAATTTAATCACTACCCCTTCTACCTGTTAAGTACTCTATGCATGATTTTTTTAAATAATTATATCATTGTTAGTTACAATTTACTCACAAGGCTGTTTCAAAACCACTCTTTATCCTGGATGTATTTTAACAGACTGTGTTATAACAGATAGTTCATTCTAAATGATCTCAGTTCTCTCACACTTAACAAATTATTTTCATTTTTCTGTGTTCCCTTTCAGTTTCTACCTGCATATATAGATAAGCAAAAATAAATCCTGTTTGGTTTTAGTTTGTTCTCACACTCTTTGACCTTAGTGAATTAAATCATGAGTGTATTTGATAACTTTCACAACTGATATATAATTTTCTGTTTTATATCTTTAGTTTGAGTTTATTGACTAGAAATCTAAATCGTTCAACTGTTTTTTCTTTTTTCCCTATTGATTCTGACTTCCTTTAGGAGTTACACGATCTCTTCAGTCTGCCTCATGACAGACCTTACTTCAAAAGGTCTAATGCTTATCACTTTCCAGATGAGCCATACCAAGATGGTTACATTAGAAATCCACACGCTTACCTCAGTCCACCCAACATGGAGACTGGCATGGTGAGTTTATTAATTACTTACGGGAGTCAGCTGATCACCAGCGTCATTCGTTTTTTGTACCTAGTGGAATTTGTAAGGATTGATTCACAATGTATGTCACCTCTAAAACATAATTTATCATCCATTTCTTTTAATAATCAAGTGCTTAAGCTAGCAGTAATTCACAGTGGTCTAAAAGGGTTAGGAATAGCTAGCATGGACCACATTTCTCTTACTAAAATTCCATTCCCCGACTTCACTATAGGCTTGTCCAATTTTACTTTCGTTCTGAACCTGAGAAATCATGCTAATTAAGGGCATATTTTACCCAAACCACACTGTAGCAGAAGTCTCATAAGACCCTACAGTGTTTTTCTGTGCAGCATGTACCTGCTTGCAAAGGGTAGATCGTCACTGAAGGTTGCTGAAATAAGGAGCGAGGCGAAGGGTCCCTTTAAGGATGCACGTAGGCCAATTGGAAAAGATCTTGTGACATCCAGGATAGGAATGTGTGCACAGCTGGCCTCTTAGCACAGAGCCGCTGCCTCAGTCTCGGGCCCACATGGACGCCGTGGTGGCCTCTCTGCTGCTCTGTCGGCTGTTGATCCCAACTGGCCTGTGCCTTCTCTCTGCTCTGCCTTTTCTCAGCCTCAGAGCTTCTGCTTCCTCATTGCTGCTGCTTATGTGTAGCTTTTCCTACTTCCTTGTCGCTGCTCACTGTATGCATGTTTCAGCTTCATGCCCTGCTCCTTTCTGCCTGATTCACTCTGTGCCTTCAGATTCCGATGGCAGGAACTCGATTGCCCATCTTGTTGTGGCATTTATTCATACCTGCTGAGTCTCCAGGTCCTCTGTAAGGAAATCTCAAGAAGTAAAGATGAATATATGACACTGTGTCTACCCTCGAGGAGTTTGGGGCCCACTGCTAGGCCTGGCCAGCAGAGTACGCTTGGGACAGCAGTTCCACCTGCTTCCCACAGAGACTCGGCCGGGCACTCACACTCACTCACATACAAATTCATCTTTAGTCAGTATGTCAGTGATCTAAGTGATTTCATTTATTGTGCTTATATAGGAAATCTTGAGACACTTATTTCTAGTTAAAAGTCTTACTCTGTGAGGCATAGAATCACAGAAGAGGAAATACAAAACTTAGAGTCAAACAGTACCTCTTGATAGTTTTCTAGTAGGTTACCATATAACGTTCCCTCTCTCTCAGGCTCTATTCTTTTTATGTAGGTTTATGTGGTCCAGGGCCTGTACGGTTATCATCATTACATGCAGGATCGGATGGATGACAACGGCTGGGGCTGTGCCTATCGATCACTGCAGACCATCTGCTCTTGGTTCAAACACCAGGGATACACAGAGAGGTCCATCCCAACACACAGAGAAATCCAGCAGGTACAGAACACGCCGCTTTCCATGATGAGCACGTGCACATTTCAGTAGCCCTTATTATATTACCATTAATTATTATTAACTCAGAGTACAGACTGATTTATGTTCTGAAGGAAAAACGTGTCCTGCTAATCAGGGAAAAGGCCCTACATGTAATTTTAATAGCTGTCTGTATATGGATTTTTTTTGTATTTTCAATACAAAAAGGCTCTAGTTGATGCCGGGGACAAACCAGCAACTTTTGTGGGATCACGGCAGTGGATTGGATCTATCGAGGTACAGCTGGTACTGAACCAACTGATTGGCGTAACTTCAAAAATACTGTTTGTCAGGTAAGGACACGCTAAAAAAGTAAAGACATCATTTCAAAGCGAGATTGTCATTTTGTTAAAATAACAGAAAAATTATATCTTTCCCCCACATTTGTTTTCCGTCCTGTCTCTTCCTCCACATTGTCTGATTACTCTGTAAATCTCTTTTTTAACCCTAAATTTTCTTTTTATTTAATCTTCAGAAGACTTTGGAGTTTATGATCTACAATACATACTTATATGGTTGAGGCCTTATTTTAGCCAAGAAGAGAAAAACTTGGATATATGTCAACTTCGAGTGTAGTTAAAGAAAATCAAGTTTTTTTTTATGCTCAAGTTTTTAAAAAGTCTTGAAAGGAGAAAAGCAAATGTTGATCTACGACTGACTTTCTTGTTTACCTCTTGCACTTTTTCTTCTTAAGATGTTAATAAACTAATTATGTGTCTGAATAACTGGTGACCTCTAGATTCATGGGTTGACGCTCAACCACTGAGCCACACAGGCTGGGCTCTATGGTTTTGTGTGTTTTTTTAATCAAGAAAGAATGCAAAAATGGTCTCATTGATATGACCTTAGCGCCAGAAATGATTCATCTAATAGAAAACGGTTTCTTTCCAGCCAGGGTTCAGAAATGGCCGCTCAGGGACGGGCACTGGCCAATCACTTCCAGAGTGAAGGAACTCCGGTGATGATCGGTACGAGCTTGGGACACCCTGGGCTCTTAGGTGGCGTGGCGAGAAAGTAAAACTTACATTAGTATAAATGTTTAATGTCACCTGAAATCAGTCATTTTAAACCAATTTAAAATTAGCTTTTACACCATACACTCTGACCTCCAAATTCCTTTGGCGATTTTTAAATGTGCAAGGCAGAAGGAACGTTATAGAAAAGGTTATAATAACCAGACGAAAATGCTAAGAAGGTAAATGATAAAGGTGTGCCCATAGTTAAAGAGTTCAAAGCAGCATGAAAGAGAGGCATGAGCGTCGTAAGTCACATGTCTGTCACTAACGTGGCTGGCGGTATTCCATGACTGCGAATTGCTTAATCTCTCTGGGCTTTATGCGCAGAATAAGAGGATTGGATTCGTTGATCTAAAGATTCATATTCTATGAGGAACAAGACAGCTCCTGTGATGGCAGAGGAAAGCTCAAACGGGTGTGTGTAGGAAATGGAGGCAGGCAGATTTCAGCAGAATATCAGAAAGAACTGAATGAGTGATGGCTGTCTCCTTGGAGACAGCACGCTCCCTGCTGAGTGGACCACAGCAGTGACTGTGTCTGGTGGGAGGAGTTTAGACCCTCTGTGGACCTTTCTAAATCCAGTTCAGGTAATTCCATGGATATGGCAGTGTGAATATAAACCTGATTGTAGATATGATTGAATCTCTATCTTAAAGATGTAATTTTAT